ACTCTAAAGCGGCCTTAATACTGCCCATATTAGTTAAGAGAGAGGTGGTTGAAGTTTTGACAGCTTCGCGCAGAACCGTGCATTACGCGAGGCCGTGCATTACACGCTAAAACACAGTACTGCGTGGCTGCTCAGAGGGCGAGGGGCCTAGAACCGGGACCGCGAGCGTGAGACTGAGCGAAAGCATGAGCAGCCTGAGCCAGCAAGATTCGAGCTTGAGCGGCCATGACTGAGTTTGAGCAGACCGTGAGCGAGCGTGAGTTGAGGCGGTACAAACGTGAGCGTATTGAGCCGAGGTTGAGCCGAGTAAGACTTTGCTGAGTCAACGTGGCTGTATCGACGACCCGAGTTGGGACGTGGGTGCAGGCACTTTGTCCCAGTTAATAGCAAAATAACTTCTTCTCTCGGGCCACTTCCAAATCATGCTTCGGATTCCACTATCAATTCACGCACGCTGTTACCAGATTACGGGTCATGCAGGGTGACCCAGCTTTTAAATTACCAGAGGAAGTAGAGATCCGTAAGAACTCGCAACCCAAAAAGAGGACTCGATGGTGCAAGGAACTTGCTGGAAGTAAGTCGAGAATGTTCATTACATCCCGTGCACATATGTGCCCATGGGGTACCCAAACACCAAAATGGAATGCACTCCCTTAACCATATTCCAGTCGCTCTCGCGAACAGTTAGCGTCTTGAATTGTCAAAAACACGTCTTGCAAAACTGCGAATTCAAATCCCGAATCTCTGCACAACTTTCGGAATCCCCGGAAGCCTTTGATTACTTATTATAATGGCTAATACCCCGCTAGGCTCTTCTCATGGTCTTCCGTGTATAGACAGTTCTGAATACAAGCACAACCTTGCGAAAAGTCACCTTCATCAACTCCCAGCAGAGCTACTTCTCCAGATCGGCAAATATCTATCCCCCGATGGTATTTTTGCCATACGTCTTGTTTCCCGAGACTTGCACACCACTTTTGAGCCACCATTGATTCTTGGTCCTTTGGAACGTGATTACTTCAGAGCCCTCCTCCGTCGCGACCTGTTATCCTGGCATTCTCGATGGGAGCGTTTCAAAGGCTTGGTCAACTTGCCCAAAGCCGTCTGCAGTGCGTGCAAATTCACGCACCCCAAATCACAATTCTCTCTTCATCAGCTGTCCGAGCAGCCTGGGCTCCGCGTGTGTTTAGGTGCTGAGAATGCTTTAAAGATCTGTCAGCATCGTTCGTTCACATTGAATGAGATTCGCGACGCTTGGCTCGACAACAGGGATCAACTTCACTCGAACTCAGTCTTCATCTCTAAACGCAGTCGCGCCAGCTCTCCTGATGGTACTACGGCAGACTCTTATGCACCTTCCCTTGAAGCCATCATTGGACAGTCCCGCACCGCAGGAAAATGTGGGATAGTCCGTTATTTCCGCCTCCTCATCCTGCAAACGTCCAAGGGCTTGACCGCTGAAGATTTGGCTGCTCCTCTATCCGCCATAAAGGAAACTCTATGTCCGCAACTAACGGCTGTTGAACTTCCCGAATTGCGTACTTTGAGAGTGATGAGATCGGAGGGCAAGTATGGCTTATGCCGTTCCTGCCGACTCGATTTCGTACCGTGTCATGGCAACAACTGCAGCTCAAAGTATTCAATTCTTCGCCAGCAGTATGTTGAAAGCCGGGAGCTGGATGAGGTTATTCTAGCCGTCTACAAGGACCATGAGGCGCCTATCTGGGATCTCGCGAACCCAGCATGGTTTCACGACTTGGCCAGTCGGTTATCGAGGGAACAGAAGACATTGAATGGCAAGCTTAGCGGTAAGGAACCTGGGACTGTACTTTTTAAGACAAACGGACCAACAGAATGGAGCTGGAGTGAGGTTTGAACAAGGCAGCGGGCTGTATCTACGCAGCTGTATGTAGCAGATGCATCATTGCGGATTCACGAGTAATCTGGGTGCCAACATGAGTATCGAAGTCATGAGCAGATTTCCCAGGGAAAAAAAAGCTCGCCAGGAACTCCATGTCAGGATAAGCCTCAAAGAGACCCTCGCTCTCGTCAGCACGATTCAAGGCGGTTTCCGGAAGCGACTACTAGCGAGCCCTGATCCTATCCGCATGTGGCGGAGCTGACCGTATCCCACTCTTGGCAGGCCGAGAAGCCGTCATACTTGGGTAGGGCTCCTGGCAGGCGAGAATGCGGAAATTGAAGCCCTACTAGCATGTCATGGAAATTCTAACGCTGGTGTGACAACAATATCACAGAGTGTGCGCAGGGTGCAGTGAGAACTCAGGAGGTACATCTGGAAGTATCGATCAGCAGATCTTGGACGACAGGGTGGTGAGGTTTTGAGAGGTTAGGTTTGGATTGTTCGCTTCGATAGGACTGGGCTCCCGGGATTAGCGGCTCAGGAACCCACACAAGTGGAGGAGATGGCACGACTGGGACTCACACAGAGACGTTCTCGCACCACGAAAACAACTTAGACGGGACGACTTCGTGCCGCGATATCTCTCTCCACTTGGATACTTCATCCCGCCAGTCTTTAGTCATGGAGAATACTTCTCTTAGAAGTCCACTTTTTTTTTCAAGCACTCGCACTTCACGGTGCCTCAGCAACACTGCTCTTGCAGAAGTGTGCGATTCTTCTCAGCAGCGTCCGTCAAGGCCTAAGAGCTCACATTCGCAGGCCAAGGTGCTTCGCTGGCGCCAAATGCTCGTATTAGTAGTGACACGAGGGGATGGTGGTGTTTTTATCGACTCCGCAGTCAGGTGAGCAGGACGGCAATGGCTGCAAGCCCAAAGGAGGCGGTGGTGGTGCTCAGGGGCAGAGGCTGCACTTTTCCCGAAGCGGAAGCTCCAATGTACGAACTGGTGAGCGGCTAACCGGGAAGGGTAAAACGGGTCGAAAGATCGACGTGCCGAGCAACTCCCTCCCCCGAAATAGAACTCTTTTTACGCGAAACAGCCGGGTTCTTCTCCCTTTCTTCAATGTTTGCCATGCACGCCGAGAAAGCCAGACAAATTGCGCATGTGTCATGGAGCCCGTTGCGATGTCGGGTCGAAGATATATTGTCGGGCGACCTGCAATCGGAACTGTACGAGTTCCCGCCTCTCCCTCACCACCCTTCTCGTCAAGAACTAGGGTGTTTAAAACTTCTAATTTGGAGATCTTCGCGATCTCTGTACACTCGCTTGTTCGCGTCACTCGCTCCAACATTTGTTTATAATGCGTACTTTTACTCTAATAGGCCTTGCGGCCGGACTCGCCAGTACAGTTTCTGCGGCTTGCAGTGCTGCCCTCAAGATTGACGACTTCTCGAAATGGTCGAGCAACACCAACAGCCTGGGTGAATGGACGAGCGGTATGTGGAACTTACCAATTCAGCGATCTCAGTGTCTAACTCTGCCTAGATGATGGTTCCATGACCACCATTTCAGCAACCGGTGGCGTGCTCTCTTTCAAGCCTAAGTCCGGTTCTTACTTCTACGAGACCTTTGCTTGCCAGGCCGCATCCACAAATGGCTACAATTCTGTGCAATTTAGCGTCAAGGGACCATCCGGCGGATCCCTTACTCTGGAAATTCAGACAAAAACCTCTTGCTCGGCAACAGCCTATACTTCCAAATACTTTACCGTTAGTAGCTTGACTGGATCTACTCAGACCATTACCGTCCCACTCAGCTCCTTTTCCGGCGCCAACGCCAACGCAATCACTGCTTTCGTCTGGTCAGGTTTCTCGAGCACAACCGCGACATGGCAGCTATCCAGCATCCAGTTTGGCTGCGGCTCGAGCGGTGGAGCGAGCTCTACGAGCAAACCGGCTTCTTCGTCTGTTATACCGGCTTCTTCAACTTCCGTGAAGCCCTCTACGTCGTCGGTTCCAACTTCCGTCGTAGTACAATCAACGAGTAAGCCCGCCAGCACCACGTCTGCTCCACCGTCTACTCTGGTAACTTCCACCATACCATCTGGATCCTGCACGCCTCTTCTGGTTGATGACTGGACTTCTCAGTCGCGCTTGACTTTCTTGTTCTACAATGCTATGCTCGAACCAACTTCCGATGATGGGACTATGACGTCTCTCGTTGTTGGCTCACCAAGCGCCAATCGTGTAACCCTTACCCCTAAGGGTACAGATTCGTACTTCTACTCGCAAACCGGATGTCTGAACGCAAAGAATATCTACGGCGGTCTCTCACTCCGCGTTAAAGCTCCCGCTGGCACGACCTTCTCAATCCAACTCGAGTCTTCGTCAACTTGTGAGGTTGGGAAAACTGTTCAAGTCGTCCAGACAACTTCACAGCTTGGATGGACTTTTGATGGCACTGAGAAGGTGTATACGATCCCGTTCTCCAAATATACTAATCTGGACACAAGCAAAATAGTCACTATTTTCTTCACTGGGTTCACAAAAGCAGTCTCATTTGGCCCACTGGCCTTCTATTGCGGCACTACCGGGTCTGAGTATATTGTTACTACTACGACTCCTCCAGCTGGCCCTTCATCCACTGTCGCAGCGCCCACCGGCACTGCCGCCGCTCTTGTTATCGACAAGTTCGCGAGCAAGGATTCCAATGCGCTCGGATTCTGGCACGGTGGTGACGACGGCATGGGTCTGACCTGGGGTAGCAGTAAATTGACTATCAAGTCAACCGATTCCGACTACTCGTTCTACACTCAGGTCTCAGGATCCTGCAGCGACTTCTCTAAATACAAGGACTCCTACTTGCACATTGCGTACTCTGGCACCACTGCCTTCAGTGTCGCACTACAGCAACATAACAGCGGTTGTAATGAGAACGTTTCACCTTTCCCTGAGACTTGGGATTCTCTTGAGGCCTCCCGCTATGCGGCGAATGGCCACATCTACATGCCGATGAACCACTTCAACATCAACCTGGTCCGCACGATTGGCATTGCAATCAAAGGTTTCTACAAGACTGACACCGTGGCTCTCTCTCTCGTGGAAATCGTGCCATCCGTTCCAACAGGCTTCATCATCCCGAACAAGCTCGAATCTGGCGATCTCGTTTTTGCTTGCAAGCGCCCGAACTCATTCGCTTTTGCCATTGATGATGGTGACCCAACCATGGCTCAACAAGTCATGCAGATTATCAAATCGGAGAATATCAAAGTCACCTTCTTCACCGTCGGCGCTCCCCTTTTGGACTCTTCGACGAACCTGACAAACGTGTATCGTGAGATGCAATCCCAGGGCCACCAGATCGCTCTGCACTCTTACACCCACCCTAAGATGGAGGGACTTCCGGACTACGCTTCGATTGACTGGGAGTACAATGAGGATATCAAGGCTGTGCAAAAGCAACTCAATGGCCTCCATACTCCATACTTCCGACCCCCCTTCGGTACCGAAGGTGCCCGTATGCGACAGCGTCTGGCCCTAGCATTAGGCGAGAAGCCTACTATTACAATGTGGTCCGTTGACGTAGAGGACTGGCTATGGGCAGAGACAAACACCCCGGAGGAACAGCTCAAAGCATTCCAGCGTGATGTTGATAAGGGTGGAAGTTTGGTCGTTATGCATTACTTGTACCCGAGCACGGTTTCTTATCTTAAGCAGTTCATTCAGATCGCAAAAGCGACAGGGAAGCAGTTGATGAGAGTGGATCAGTGTATGATGGATCCTAATGCACCGCCTTTGTAGATAAGGGGTGAGGGGAGGGATAGGGTGATTAGTGATTGTGAGATGATGAAAACGAAGAAGGATGAGAATAGCGGTTTGCATTGCTTTGCATTGGATGGGATTGGAAAAGTCGTAATCGTAATGGTTGAATCATAAATTTGCATTGCATTGTAATTGTATCGCAACCAACGCATTTCGCCCATGTTCGTTTATCGCTGTTCATCTTATCGTAGGACCAATCCTCCGTGATACTTCTTGAGCCCTTTTAGTGCCACGGCCTTAACTCCCGCTTCTTCTCTCCAAATTCACGAACTATCCTTCAAGTCTGACCATCGCTCAGTATGTGTACGTAAGGCGGAATTTTTACCGTCCAGCGAAGAGTATCTCCGCCCTAGCTACCGCACTGTATCTCAAACACGGCATCCCGGTCCGAAACCCCATTTCGGTCGCACAACTACCCCACAGAACGCGAAGTCACCGAGCCTCATGACAGATAGCCCGATATATATTACCCTCGCGTCATATCCTGCTATATAATCTTCATATGCCAAACCTATCTCAGTTAAACGCCTACTTAACGGCCCTACTATGGAATACTCTAAACACTCTTTCCCGGATCACGGTTGGCTGGGATTGGCCAACGAATATGAATTTCATATTCGAGCAATCATGGTTGGCAGTGGATGACCCGGAATGGAGGACAATCTGGATTTTTGGGATGTGGGTGCTCTTGGCGTGTGAACCTTCAAGGTTATTTTGGGGATGTGTATAAAGCCAGATGCTCCCCCATTGAGCACGAATTCTCCAGCCAGATTCAATCATACCGACCAAACGCGCCCATTATGCAGCAAGCCCTTACCGCCTTCTTCATACTCGCGGGCAGCGCCTTCGCGGCACCAAGGCCACAAGCCTCCACTACATCATCCGCACCCGCCGCTACCGCCAGCATTAAATGTCCGATCGTTTTCGATGGCCGTGTCCCTGTTGGCACTGCCGGAACCTTCTTCGATTCATCGAACGGCCTCTTTAACCCTGACTACGTCAAAGGTAACGATCTCAAATGGTCTGACATTTTGAAATTCCCGACTGGCGAAGCGTCGCGATTTGATGGCGCGGAGTATCAAGCGGTGGAGGTGACATTAAGCGATAAGAGTATATTCCAACAGCAGAAGGGTTTTCGGAGAGCGGGGTTGCAATTCATTCAGGATAGTAGTACCGGGCCAGGGACGACGGGGGTCAAAACGTTGCATTTTAGTGTGAGGCAGGATACTGCGAAGCCGTTGAATTTGACGCATGAATATTTGGTACGGAAGCCGCATCTTGCCTTCTCGCCGTTCTGAAATTGGAGATTCTAGGATGGTGAGGAGAATAGGGAATGGTGAATTGAAAGCTAACAAGCCGTTTACAGAACGTCTGGCACGAAGCCGCCGACTACTCGGCCGACCAAATCATGTTCCAAACGGGTCAAATCATCGGAAAATCTGCCAGCGACAAGAATAACTTCAAGATTCTCGACCGAGCCGGCAAATCGCTATACTCGGTCGCAATGGAAAAGACCGCCTGGCAGAACTTTGCCATCAAGCTTGACTACTCTAAGAAGCAAGTCAAACCCTGTCTGTCTCAACGTAGCGTTGTATGCTAATATTCCGATTGTAGCCAAGTCCAAATATACTACTCCGTTGGCCAAAATCCACTCAAATCCGTCGCAGGTCCTTCGTCCGCAGATCTTTCTGGCCAAGGTCAATTTCAGATGGGTATTTTAAAGAAGCCTACCGGAACCTCAGATGTTGTGAATGCCGGCTACCAGGAGAGTAAGTTGAATGAGGGGCAAATTTATGGGGGATTGTTCCTTGAAGATAGCGCGAGTGGGTGCGTGTCCTTGTAGAAAAAATACCGAAGAGGCAGTGGATTGTACATAAATGAAAATGCGAACACGATCTTAACTTGGTAAAACCCATGCCGGACACACAATGCAGAGCTGCAGGGTTTCCAAATGTATGTACGCCAAGCTATGAATGGACTAATTGCATGCATGCAGGGACAACGCATCACTCATTGGCCTTTCTCTCATTGGAAACTTCCAAACCTCGAAAATGCCCCGCGCGTTCGATGTTTTGTGCGACCTCAAATGCTGCACAGGTTCCCGACGTCAACGAAGCAAGTGCATATACTTTCTTTTTAATTTTTGAAGCACGCAAACCTTCGAATACAACATGCCCACCCTATCATCGATCCTCCTAGGCATCCAAGCCATCCCTATCACGCTCTTCGGAACAATAATCCTGTATAACCCCGCGAAAGCAGGATTCGCAGATGTCCATCTTTCGGTCTCGCATATTATCGGGTACACCGTCCCTCTCCCAATCCTCAATCCTCCACCTCCCACTTACCCGCACCAAAGCTAATCTCCATTTAGTTTCTCTTCCCTTTCCCTCGGCACCGCATATGCACTGGCAGCGCTCCAACCTCTGAGAACAAGACACCAATTCCTACTTACATCAGCCCCGCTGAGATTCGTGGCCGCCTGTTTTTTTTTGAGTGATGGAAATGAGGCGAGGGGTGCACCGATTTGGGATTTTGCGAATGCAGGACTGGCGCTTGTGGTAGTGGTTTGGGAGAGGTTGATGATGTGAAGATAAGACGGGATGGGAGGGGGACGTTTAGGGTTTAATGGAGAAAAGCGCTGTATATCACGTGAATATCACGTGTATTTCCAGTTACAACTAACCGCGGAAGATTGAGCCTGCTAGGCTATTGAGACTTCGCCGTAATCGCTACTGGATTCATTGTTATCTTTGCTTGCGAGATACACTATCTTACCATATAGATAACTTTCAATGTAGAGTGTGTTGGGGACGAAAGGCTTGGCGTTCCGAACCTCTGCAGAAGACTGTACCGTGTTCTCTCTCTTTTTGATTCTAGCAAGCTGTTGGAGAGATATTTACTATGCTTTCTTTGACCATGTTTGGATACAAGGCATCGTGTAGTAATTAGCACACTGTTCTTCTATATTAATAGTCTTTTGTAGACCATATAATCTGGATTATATGTGCTAAATTTAGAATATGCAGAGAGGATAACTAGGGGTGAAAGCAACACCTTCTTCTCGCTGGAAATTTAGCAAGAGGTTGCAGAGACATTCACTCTTTTCTAAACGCTCTCTATCGGGCAATAATACATTACGTAGTTGTTGACACCGCTAATCTAAACAATCGATTTCATTAAGTCTCTCTGGAGAATAAGATGTCTATCTTAATCCCCACTCCCTCTCACCCAACACCTCCATCCATCGTCCCCTCCTCCCCTAATTTCTGGTCACTGGGGCATCCGGTGCATTTGCCTTTGTCACTGAGCGCTTGAGGTCTTTCTTATAGGCGTGAACTGCCATGAACTGGTCGTCCTCATGAGCTCGAGAGCAGTTGCGGCGAGAGCAAGATCCTGCCTCAAATGATGAGCAGCGGGGGCGGATGCACTGGGATGCCGTCTTGCCCTCCAGGTGGCAGTTCTGGCATGGAGTGCCGTTGTCGCACGTGCCGTTCCACCAATGCTTGTGGCAGTTCATGCACGCGACGATGCGCCGCTCTTGTGGCTCTGGATGTGGTGGCTGCTGGGGTTGCGATTGCGGTTGTGGAGGGGTGTAATTCGGCGCAGCTAGAATTGGCATGGGAGTTAGACCTGGGAAAGAGGCATAGGGACCTGAGATTGGGGATTGCGGCGTCATATCGTGCTCTGGTGGCATCCGATTTTTCGCCAGTATTTCCATGTGCGGGAATAGCATACCCTGATATGGTGTCATTGGTGGCGGTTGCGGAAGGGACTGGGGGATGGGCTGTGGAGGCGTGAAGGTTTGAGCTCGCGGCGCAAAATTGAGTCGCAAGAATGGAGTTTGCGCGTGAGAAGTAGCGAAAGATGGAGAGGAAATGTCTTCGACCTTACGCTTCTTAGACTCTGGGCCTTGGTATTGGGGATTGAGGGGATATTCAATCGGTTTGCGTGGCGATAGTGATCGAGCTTGGTCTTGAAGCTTCTGCTTCAGAAATGCAGCTTCAGTCTCCGAAATGCCCTTTTCCTTCTCCAGTCGTACATTATCGTCTGCTAATCGCCTCACCTCTTCCTTTGCATTGTTTGCTTCGATCCTAACCCGCTTCCATTCCATCTCAAACTGCTTCCGCATGTTCGCTATGTCGTGTTGGCGATCCGATAGCGCTTTCGCTGCTAAAACCTTTTTGTCCTCTTCCATCTGCTTAATTTTGTCTTCGAGGCTAGTAGCGTAGGCCTTGTTATGCGCGACAGCGTGACCGCATCGCGCTTCAGTGTCTTTTAAAAAGAAGGAAGCCTGACTGAGACGCTTTTCGGCGAGTTCGGCGCGACGGTTGATGAAGAGGTTGTCGCGCCAGCGCTTCTGACCACGGTCAGTGAGCTTTTGGATCTGCTTCTTGAGATCTTCGATGATGGCATCTTTCTCGGCGAGCTTCTCGTCTGGTGTCTTCTCAACGGGAGTGTTGACATGAGTGTCAGTCGCGAGACCTAAGGATTGGAGGATGGCGCGTTCTGCAGACTGCATTGCGATGAATGAAAATGGGTGACTGTTGAGTTCTTATATAGGAGGCTAAGGAACTTAGTACGCTAAAGTTAAGGGACTAAGTTCTTCAAAGTCAAGGGTTGATGGGACGGGAGTCAGAAAAAGGCAGGTAGAAAGGTTGACAAAATACGAGTTGGAAGAGGGAAGTGGAAGGGCCACGGGCGACGAAGTGGGGTAGGCTCGCCAGATGTCTATTGTTGCGATTGACGAATATTATGAAGCTAAGACTGCTGACTTTGTGGAGTCTTCGAGCCCTGTGAAGTGAGAAGTAGAAAAGTGGCAGGTGGTAGGGTCGGTGCGAGCAAAGCCGAGCCGTAGCAGAGCCTGTAATTAGAAGGTTTTGAAGCTGAGTAGGTAAACTTTGAGGTAGAGTCAAGGGCTGGGTTTCAAAGCGAAGAGTTGGAGCAAGGAGGGAGGAAATGCTGCCGGCGATATGGTCGGGTGCGAGGCTTTGAGCAAGCGTTATTATTGGTGTTGATTGTGCTTAGTAGATTGAATAAAGTCTTATTGTTGACAATGCCTCGCCTATGATCGGAGAAAATCCTTTTTTGCGGTGTGTCTACACGTTGTCATGATACACGGCATTGCAGTGATCGAGTATTAATTATCACGACAGGCGCAGTCGTGATCACCTGTTTGCTTGAATCAGCTCCCAGAAACCAATGCTCTTGACCACGTTGGCTCAGGAATCGACTTGTTTTAGCTCATATTGATAGTATTTTAAGTTGAGCACTGAATTATGCTTACCCTATTTTGCGAGAAGGAGTCCAGTGTTTGGTCCCTTAGCTGATACGACAGCTGATACCTTGCAAGCGTAAATTTGCCACAAGAACAGGCACATCTACAGTATTAATTAGACGTATGAACGTCCCCTAAGGCCGTAATTTTCGCAAATTAACTTAAACAGTAATTTCAGCGCTCAAATTCAAGTCTCTCGAGCTAAACCCAACATGGACACCAATAGCACTACTCGGTAGTCTCCAACTCTGCGCACTAACATCCCAGAAGCTGACATCGCGCCTCATGAGTGGGAACTCCACTGTAGCCGATGCGCCAGGTCCTAAAGCAACCTTATGGAATCCTCTAAGAACTCGAACTGGGGTTCCCCCACCGGCTTCCGAAGCCGGAATGGAGAGATATAGCTGTGGAACTGCGGCACCAGAAACATTGCCAGTATTTTTGACCGTCGCAGAGACGGTGACCAAAGTCTCCCAGAGTTCGGCATTTCCACCTGGGACGATTTTCGCGCTTGGTGATGGTAGACGCGAGGCACTGGCAACGGCAATATTGGTCCCGAGACTGGAAAGCGTGAACGTGGTGTAGCTCAAACCGAACCCGAACTCGTAGGCGACACTTTTGTTCTCCGCATCGAACTCTTTGTAGTCGATAAGCTGACCTTCAGAGAAATCTGCTTGCCACGCATCTGGATCCGTAGATTCAAGAAGTTCTGTGCCGTTGACGAGATTTTTCTCATAATCGACTTCGGTGAGTGCAATAGTATATGGGAGTTTTCCAGAAGGATTCACATCGCCCCATAAGACATCCACAATTGAGTTTCCAGTCTCTTGACCTGGCATGTGCGCGGCGAGAATAGCAGTGACGTTGGCATTGTCCTTCCAAGGCAGCACATTCGGCGATGCACCATGCAGTACGACAATAGTGTTTGGACAAATAGCGGTTACTTTTTCGATGACTGTGTTAGAGTTCCATTCCGCAATAAGTGTGGGTCTATCCTCGCCTTCACTAGCCCAAGATTTGAGGAAGACCATGCACACATCTGGCGGCGAGGGCTGGATGTTGGAAACACCCGCATTTGAAATTGCTTTGTTGTCTGTCATGTACTGAACTAGAGCGCCATATGATTGACCGCGCGCTTTGATGGCTTCAAGTGGCGAGACAACGTAGGTAAAGCGACCAGTTCCGGATCCGCCACCCACGGCCAAAGTGCCGATATCATAGTTGCCGGGCTCGAGATCGGAACTTAGCTTGAGTGTGTATTGGCCTCTTGTGACGTCGGCCGCGCCGTTACCAAAGACGGCTATGTTCTTGGGCTGTTTTAGTGGGAGTGCGCTATTCGTGTTTTTAAGCAGAACCGTTCCAGCAGCACCGAGCTGACGAATGAGGCTAGCATGGCCGCCTCGCACATCTACGAGCGGAGAAAGGGGGAACTGGTGTACATAGTTTTCACCGGGAAAGAAGCCCAGGGGAACGGCAGAAGCGTCCACTCCGGGATATCCTGCATCTTGGTTGAGGAGATAATAAGGGGTCATGATGCGGAGGATCATGTCGTTGAGCCTGGTGGCGGAGAGCGAGCCGTTATTGGCCGCAGTGGTGATGTTTCCGCCAAAGAATGATGGAGCAGCAGAAGTGAATCCAATGCCACCAGGCATGTTCATGTCGAGACCTGCTTCAATGGCCGGGACGCCAGAATGGGTAGCCCCCCAATCAGACATGACATACCCCTGAAAGCCAAGCTCGTCCTTAAGGAGACCATTGAGAGTCTTCGAGTTTTGGCAGCCATAGCTCTCATTGATGCGGTTGTACGAGCACATCAGACTTGCGGTGCCTGCCCGAACAGCGTTTGCAAAGGGCCAAAGGTAGGCTTCGTGCATGGTTCGATCATCAACATTGGACGAAATGGCCTCGACCGTGGTACCATTCACGGCTGACGGGTTCCTCTGGGTCTCTTGTTCGTTCATAATGTAATGCTTCGTGCAAGCCTGAACACCAGCAGATTGCATTCCAATGACAGTTTCTTCGACCATAACCCCCGTTAAATAGGAATCGGGTGAGAAGCCCTCCCAATTGCGGCCACCAAAAGGAGATCGCCCCAGAGGTCCAACGACTGGCCCGAGAGCAATGTGAGCTCCTTTGCCTTTGAACTCAGCGCCTATAAAGAGGCCACGCTGTCGGACGAGAGCACGGTCCCATGATGCAGCTGCAGACAGGCCGGCTGGGAACACACTTGCGTAAATCGCTTGCCGGATACCTAGGGGACCATCTTGAAGGCATAATCCAGAGAAGTTGAGACGTGTAATTGGTGCAATATTCCCTACACATGGACCGGGGGTGCCTGTTAGAGTAAGCATAGTAGAGATATGGCTACCGAAGCAGAGGCCAAGCTCACCCGTTACCATGTGCGCCTTCTCTTCGAGGGTCAGCTGACTGACGAATGCTTGGGCCTTTTCTAGGGCAGCCTCCCATCCTCCTGCGCCTGTGAAGTTCGCTATTCATATCAGTCAGCATGACGAGCGTGTTGAGATTGAGCAAACTTGGAAGTTGAGAAAGCTGATCGTCACAAGAGTAGCGACATGACGGAACGGAAACCAAGGCTTACGGGACGGGTACATCGGGGGACTATATGCATATTGTGCGTGATCGAATCCGACCACAAATAATATGGCGTATGCACACCAAAATAAAACCAGCAATTGCCACATCTCGACAGCTGTTCGACGAAATCCCGAAATAAGGGCTAAAAGGTCAACCGCTAAACCTCTACACAATCCATCCCTCCCCTTATGTACCATTGCGGATCGATGCCTCCGCTCCGCTTTGAACATCCCAACCATCCACTTAGCAAAGTCTATTCATCATTACGCTGAGAAGCCGAAGATTCAGCGGCTCATGTGGGCAGAGAGGATCAAGAACCAGGTTTTCTAGCTGCTGAGCCTGCGTTAATGAACGGAACCAGACATCAGTTAGGCTAAGTACCTGTGGGAAATTTGTCCGGCACTTCCACAGTAACCTCGACGGGCATGGCCGTTGGTCGATCTGCGGGCAAAGATTATGTCCTCGTGCCCTTCGGTACCGGGCTAGATCTGGGGCTGTCAATGTCTCCTCATTCGGTTGCAGCGAAATTACGTCGGAGTGGTGGAGGAGAACTGTTATTAGTATGGCGCATTGTGAAACGACAAGGTTCGACGCGGGGAAACGTGGAGAACAGCCTTCGTAGCGGCACAATGTCGGGATAGCGCTCATGTGGGGAAAGAAATCGCGAGCTTCCTAATTGGGCAACTTCCAGCACATCAACAACATCTTCAAGGGTCGGATCTGGGATTGAATTCAGCATCCGCTCAATAACCTGACTAATTCCAGCAAGAATTTGGCCAGATTCCCTCTACTCTATCCACGGTCTGTAACATGTGATACAGGCTAATAACCTTCATTTGGTAATTTAAACACGTACCAAAGTATTCAATTGAGCTCTTGCAGCAAGGTGCTATGATGAACTGGATTTTTGCTGCTTGTATTGAAAGCTTTTTTTGCTAGTTGTATTCGATGGTGTCAATACATCTGCATCACATTTTGTGTTTGAAATTCGTCTCAAGCAATCCCAAACCGACCAGATTCAGACATTTAATACGCCTATCCCTCACGCTCGAAAATATTCCTTTGGCTTGACATTGGCTCCTGATTTTCACTGTTTGGGTCGAAGTCCCTGATGCGATCCTCAATTTGCTGGGAGCGCGTATCCAATGCTGCTCTCCGCCCATTTAATGTTGTTCTAGTCATGTTTCCATGTCGGCGTCTCCAGGCAATGGATATTTGAAGAGTGGCGCAAATGAGATCACGCTCAAATGCCGTGTCCAGAGACTCCGCACAAAGAGCAGCAAAATGAGGGTGAAATCCAGAATTACGCGAATACATGCCGCCAAAGTTAGCCTTAAACCGTAACGGCGGTTCTCGGCCATCGATCACACATTGGAGGAGGTATTCATTTGCGGCATGAAGGACGAAGTGGTGAAGATTCCGCGTGAATGTACTGTAAACGCGGTGATAGACTACCAGCCGTGGGTCCGGATGGAGGTTTGCAAAAGCGAAATCTTGAAGGTTCGGCATATAACGGATGAAACCGATGGCGGCTCGAAGCTGCTGGAGTGAGGTACTAGGTTCAAGCCAGTTCTGTAAAAGCGCGTGCCTGATAGGACCTAATATAGCCTGGTATTGCGCCTCGGGCTTGGAGAGAAGCTGGAGCATCCATTGTGCGAAGATAACGAGGTTAAAGAAACGTAGTCTTGTTATGCCTACAGGGATTGGGGCAGTGGAGTTGTATGGACCGACAATGAAGGTCGCGGGGTCCATCTTGAAGAGTTTGGAGTTGAGAATAACGACAGGTTTAGGGACTTGGGGTTAATAAGAAGGAAAAGTACCAGACCTACGTGGCTGTCAGGTTTCTATTGCCATTAATTTTTCAACAAAAATAGGTGACGCCATTATTATTGTTGTGTCATCGGACCCTGTGTGACTGGTATTGTTTCCGGTCAACGGCGCTGGACCCTGTGGCGGTGAATCACTTTCGAAGAGCCGTAAACGTAGCACGACAAACAATCCCTCAATTTCCTAACTAGCTTTACGCTGGATCTTAGAATAGCTATTAATCCTATAAATGTCTTACCTAAATGAGGAAATTAGCTTTTTAAATCCAAACAGCAGTCGAAGCTGAGTTCATCAGAACTTATTTCTCTGTCTGCCTTTCCCGGCTCACTCACTTCTCCTAAGCCCTCCTTAAACCTCCCCATCCACCTCCTTTCACACCTTCTTCTCCCCCTTCCGCCCTTAACCCCTCCTTCCCCACAGTCACCGCCCCCTCTCCGGCCGACTTTCCGTCGGCATCCAGCGCCCACCAGGCTAAAACAACACAAATCCCATTAAATGCAGTCGTCAAAATAGCGTTCGATCCGCATCCCCACTCGCGAACTTATACGCCCTCCCCCCACCGCCAAAATGTCCGGCGTTGCACCTTCCACGCCATCAATTGATCCCCCAGATGTATATACCGCAAGCCACCCTGGAACAGAAATGCTAGGAAGTCCAGCGGCGATAGGGACGGGAGGGGGTTGCTAAAGGATAGTTGTGGCGAGGCGATTGGAGAAAACGGCCTTATAGAGTGTAATGCAGAGGGAAGAAGAAGGGATGTGAGGAGCCACCGACGCCGAGGGCAGTGCCGGTTCGCGCTAGTCGTCATTGCAAATAGTTGCTGCTACGCTCGCTAAACATTCGTTCGCACCAAGTGCTGTTGTGCCCAGTAATAGCAGCACGATTGTTCGTGTAGGTGTGTTGGGTGTACATGTTGCCATTGTGGCGAGGAGTGCGCTGTCGGTGAAGAAGAGGCCGCGGATCGCCTAGTGTATCCTTTTCTTTGAGAAGCCCGCGAGGATCTCGCCAGCCGTGATGCCTGCGTCGACGACCCCAGAGACCCAGCCGGCCCACATGTGATGGCCATTTGCGTAGAGAGTTGTTACCATCATTGGCTATATTACGGCGAAGATGCAATAGACAGATGCACCGATGGACTAGAGGAGGATGAGGACGAGCCAGGGGTGGTCGCAGAGGAGGTGTATCGGTACGGGGTTCTAGGTCAGCTCAAGCTGTTTCCTAAGACTCCTGACATGAGTTCTTGTGGATGGGAGAAAGGGGGTAAGGGGTAAGAAGCAAACTGACTCTTTCGACTGCACATACGACTCCCACACAAACACACAAACAACAAGTCCCCAACCACAACTGTTGAAGCCACATGCGCACTCCCCAAGGATGTAGACTACCTTCCCAACTAAGTCCCATCAAAAACAACAACAACCCCAATATCCCAAACAGCGTGCCCAATAGGCCGTACTACTGACAGTACTGAGTACGGTGTACAGTTGATTTAGACTGTACGAACGTACAGTAATCTTCTGTTGGTGTGTACAATAGCTGTTGCCCTAAGTACTGTCTGTAGTACAGTGTATAGTTAGCATTTTAGAATAGTTTATAAAGCTTAATTTAGTGTTTTAAAAAGCCTTTGCTAAAGAAGCTGCTATAAAAGGCTAATTAGTAGAAAATCTTATGTGCAACACTAATTTAGCTACTTAAAAAAGACTTTACTTACCTATCTAAATAGTATAGCTTATTAAAATTAAAATAATGCCTATTACTAACTACTTTTTATTATAGAATTACTTATCTACACGCTTTATAGCCTTATAGGCCTTATTAAGTTAATTTAGTGTTACTGTTATACACCTTATAAAGTCTTAAAGGCTTAAAAAATTAAAAGTAATTTATAATACCTCTACTAGCTTATTTTATAAGGCTATACTACTTGCTAGTAATAAGTAATTAAAAAAGTACTTAAAGAAGTGTAATTATAATGCTAGCGCTAAGTTTAAGATTAACTAGAGTAATATATAGCTATTAGATTTAAAAAAGGCTTTACTAGCTACATAATTAAGTTACTAAGTAAAGAATAAAAAAATAATAAAAAGTAACTATAAAGTCTTAAAAGTGTAGCTTTATAAAGCAGATTTAATGCTATGTAAGAAGTAAAGTAAAGTTATACACCTTTAGCTCTACTATTAGTGCTATAAGCAACATTATAAAAGCACTATAAAAGTAGTTAATAGTTATAACTATATAGTAAAGTATTTATAAAAAAAGTATAAAGTTAATATTAATAAAAAGCTTTTACTTAATAGCTCTTAAGCTTCTTAGCACTTATAAGAAGTAGCTAAAGTAGAAGTAGTAGGCTTATTATATAGGCTATCTTATACACCTTAGTAAGAAGGCTCTCTGCGCAGTGCCCTAGTAGATTAGGTTATAGTGCAGGATTAATTATTTAAAAACACTGTTTTTATAGAAACCTAAGGCCTTATTAGCTAGAATTACATAGATCTTCTTGCTACCTTTTTATAATTATACACTATGCTTTTTACTAATATTTAGGATGCATTTATGCAGCAGAAGCAGGAGATTTTAATAGTACTAAATTTAGCATTATTAAAAATTGCGTTAAGCATAGATGTGTAGAGTAGTAGAAATTACTTTTTGTTTCTTATAGTAGTAGCTTATTGTTACAGTCTATAGTTAGACTAGCGTAACTCCACTAGCAGTGCTCTACAATCTAGCTGGATTAGGACAGGGCTCGCTTATAAACTAGTTAGAGGACACAGAGGCGGCATAGCTGCCCGCAGTAATAGAGGAATGCGTGGTCTAATAAGAAGACAGGCTATAAGTCTAGGGAGCCTAAGGGAGCTTATAGAAGCTTTTTTTAGTAGGCTCTTATAAGCTCCTACTAGCTCCCCTTAGCACCCCTAACATATGTATATAGTTCCTGCATTAAACAACCTTTAAAAGATGTGTTTAATGTTTAGTTTATTCTTTATATAAACTAAGTAGTATTTAGCTTTTTAAAAAGCTATAATACTATCTATATATTTTATACTATATATACTTTTAATTTTATCTAATAAGACTGTTTAACCTAGCTTTTTTACTGCTGCATTAAAAGTAAACTATAATCTAGTTACTCTACTCCCCTCTAATAGCCTATTAGCCTGTACGTAGGACTGTACACCCTACTAGTTAGCCTCTTACCCCTGTCCTACTCCCTCTTAGGAATATTATAAGACCTAAGTGCTTCTATAAAGTAAAGATTATAGCATTAAACACTACCTTTTAAAAAGTATAAATACCTCTTAACACAACCCTAATTCTAACATAGCCTATGTAGCCTTATTAAGATCTATAAAAGTTTCTACCTAAAGCAAAGCTATCTTAGCAGAACAAATTAATATAATCTAAGATAACATTAAGAAACTTTAGTAAATTAGTAAAAAAATAAAAAAAGCTAGTAAACTTTTAATAAAAAGTTACTAGCTTTTACTAAAAAGTAATTAAATTATAAAACTTTTTTAAACCTTTAAGCCTTTAAAAAGCTACTAGTTACGCCTATTAAATATATAAACTATAAGTAAAGCTAGTAAAAATCTAAAACATTTTAATAAAAAAAGTAAGTATTATAGCTAAAAAAACTTTAAAGCTAGCTTTTTTAAAACTTTTTAAAAAATTATTAAAAAACCTTTACTTATTTTTTACAAAATGCTATTTTTATATGTAATATAATAAAAAAGCATTTTAGACTAATGCAGAAATAATATTCTAAATAGAACTATACTTAAAAGGCCTCTCTATAATTTAGTTTTAGCTCTATATAGATAATTAGATAGACTTTAAAGCTAATAGCACAGCACTTACTTTAAAAATAAAAAAAGTGTTTAGTAGTATTAAAAACTTTAAAAAAGCTTTAACAGCTATTTATAAAACTCTAAATAAAAAAAAGATTATAGCTAATAAACTAAATACTATAAAGTAGGGCAGTAGCCTAGTCTAGAACTACACAGCATGTTTTAGAGAATAATTAGCTATCTGTAGATAAACAGACTAAAAGGCTCTCTGCTGCATGTTTTATAATAGACTAAGTAAAATAGTAAAAGATAAATTTATACATAGTAATAAGCTAACTACTTTTAAAAACTTTATTATATAAGTAATAACCTATAATAACTATTATAAAGAGTGTAAAAAAAAAAAGAAATAAAAAAGAACTTTTTAAAAACTAAAGTTTATTTCTAAAAAAAAAAGCTTTTATAATATAATAAAAAACTAATAGACCTTAGTTATATAAAGCATATATAAAGCTTTCTTTTTAAAAAGAGCTAAGTTCTAGGACATAATAAGCTGCTTTTAATAAAGAAATAAAAAAAGTAGCTAAAAAATAAGGCCTACCTAAACTATAAAAAAGTAAGACATTTCTACTAAAACTACCTAAACTTCTAGAAGAAGGAGAATAAAAATACTACTATAATAATAAAAGCTATTACTGCAGAATACAGCCTTATAGATAAGGAAATATTAAAAAAATTAAATAACAGCTTTTACTAGTAATATAAAAAAAACTATTTTTTAAGTAACTATTTTAAAGTGTACTAGAAAGTAGTTATTTAAAACTTTAGTAGTTTAAACATAGTATTATAAGACCTTATAATTCTTAAAAAATATAAAAAAAGACTTAAATTTAAGAATATATTATAAATATTAAAAAAAAAGAAATAATTTCCTTTCTAAAACTAAACCTTTAGCACTTTAGTAAAAGAACTTTCTTAATAGTTTTAAAAATGTAAATGCTAGAAGTGCAGCTTATAGTATAACTATCTAAGTTACTATATAGTCTTGCTCTACTAAATAAACATTAGTAATAATTACTTTATGTTTAACATAATATAATAAATAGCTAAAGTTAAGTACAACATTATAAATAAATAAAA